GGACGAAGCGGCCACCCGCTACGAGGAAGGGTCAAGGACGGAGCAGGCGCCCATAAAATCCTAACCAAAATGGTTGGGTGAAACGAGGGTGGTAACCTTCATCGGCCATAACCAACTGAAGTTTCAACACTTGGCATGAAAGCCAAGAACCCCAGCTTGACACTTAACACGAACCTGGAGTCGAACACCGGAAAGGAGGCCCAGGACGAAGCGGGCGCTAAAACACCCGCAGGGGAGTTGAACACACTGGTGGCAACCCTTACCGGCCACAATATTCCTGCCGGCCGTCAAAGACGCTAAAACCTAGGCGGTGGCTTAAGCTAGAAATTCGTGAAGAAAGTTGTCGAAGTGATTTTCAAACACTTAGAAAATTTTGAAGAACATTTCCAAGAAAATGTCAAACACTTAGAGGATATCCTGAAGAAAGCAAATGCAAAGGAAGAAGCAAACACCCGGGTGCAAAACATCTGGGCACCTTCATTGGCCACACCGCCCAACTTGGCCGACGACGATAATAAGCAGAGGAAACTACATGGCCTAACACTTGGGAAATCTCCAAACTATTGAATGACGAAGGAACAGTCTCAGCACGAAGCGGGCATTCAAACACTTGTAGGTGCCCGCCTCGGCCCTAGCCACAGGCAGTAGTCACCTATGTTCTGGTTTGACACTTAGACAAAATTCAAAGTTGAAATAATGAAGGCAACGGGCGAAAACATTTAAAGCCGAAGGGGACAAAAGCAATCCATTCAATCCAAAGGTCAAGTCCCATACGGGAGCACTTCGGCCATCACACTCAGACGTCAAAGGTCAGGTACCCTTATCGGCCACGACTACAGAAATCAGATACGACTTCCTGTTTAGACAGGGGACATGGGAACAAAAGGGCCGAAAAGGGCACCGGGCCGACGGGATCACCACGTGTGGTATGTGGTTCAACACTTAGGAAATTTTCCAAAGTTTCGGGCAAAAGTGAAAGGGGGCGTAATACCAAGACGACGCGAACACCCACTCATTTGAAGCCTTGATACTTAGAAAATTACCTAAGTCCCAATTCCAAACACTTAGACAAATTCTGAAAAACTTGAGAACAAAAGTAAAGGGAGAACAAGACGACGAAAAGACATGATAAGGCCGGAAACGTATTTCATTAATATGAGGTCATTACATAAGGAGGACTCAACGGCCATTACAAAAAGAAGGACGTTACAAAAACTAGCCTAGCTACATTACAGAATGATTAGTCGGCCGATCAACTCTCGGGGACGGTCTCATCGGCCACCCGCTCCGCTTCGGCCTCCTCCGTCCTGGCACCCTCACCGGCCTCGCCTGCTGAGGAGATGGCAGTATCGGCCATAGTGTCATTGTCGGAATAGACAGGCGAACCAATAGAAGAGCTGAGCACTGGATCCTGCCTCTCGGATGGGGGGAGTTTCGCTTCGGCCTCGGGATCCCTCATCAACGATCATTTATGCCTCTCCACTAGGGTTTGGGTGCAGGGGCGGATCTACCTAGGGCCAGGGAGGGCTAGGCCCCACTTCAAAAAAAATTATAGTATATATATATATATATATATATATATATATATATATATATATATATATATATATAGACACGCACTAATATATATAGTGTTGTGCAACAATAGTATAATAATTAAAAGCGTCAAAATGTTTACAAAATCGGAGATGGCAAGATGGAATTAGATCCACCGTGTCAGGGCACTGCATTTGAGCAACCCTGAGTCCGAATCCCATTGAGAGCTAGATTTCCTAAATTTTGCTATGGAGAGCATTGTGTTTTAAAATTTCAGTCTTCCCCCCCTAAATCTCTTTATTCCACACTAGAAGAAGAAAGGGATTATTCTTTCATACATATCTATTTAAACTGGATCTCCTAGGATCAATTACTACAAACTTAAACTCGTTGAATGGGCTTCATACTAATCATTAATGGGCATGCTTTGGGCTTTTGAATATTAGCCTAAATAATTAATTAGTTCAATTAATCAAGTGCTAATTACCCGGTGGGCTAGTTTCCGTAACATTCTATCACTAATATCCCAACTGCCTTTTCTTTTCATATTTAACTTTTTTATTTTCACTATTGTTTTTTTATTTCACTTTTGGACAGTTTCCTGCCAACGTTCTTCACCAATACGAATTTCCCTCAATCGCAGCTTGCTTTTTCTTTCTTCCCGCTTCCGGTTTTCTTTTCTTCTTCTCCGATTCATCTTTTCTCATTCGTTCATCTTCACGATAATGTCGACGGCAAACACTCCTACTCGTGTTACAAGATCTTCTTCTCGGCTGAATATGGATGGAAGAAGTTTTGATCGTCACAGTGCTTTTGCTTCACCTGTTCGTTCGAGAAGTCCGAACTTTGCTCAGAAGAAGAGAAAAAATGAAAATGCTCCAAATCCTCGGAAGAAAGCCAAAGTTTCCATTAATGTCCAAGTTCAGAAGTCTACTAAATCTGTTAAGGAACTAAAAAATAAGAAATATCCTTCGACATTTAAGGTACTTATTTCGGTATTGTTATATTTGAAGTGCTTGTTATATTTTGCATGTGTACTTTTTGTTCTTGTATTTGAAAGTGTTTTTGTTTAATTTTGTTTATTCAATTGTAATTTTGTTTCATTTTTTGTAATCCAGGAGTGGCAGTATTTTGTTCCATGTGAATCATGGTTTAACAGTAGGGTTTGTAATTTTAGCAAGGATTGCTTTATTGTAAATCTTAAGGCGAAGATGACTGATGTGCAATTGGGATTATTTAGGGAAACCTGTTTTGGTAAATTGTTGGATTTTCAAGACCTTAAATTGCAGCCACAACTTGTGCATTGTTTGCTTTTGCGAGAAATTAGCCACAATATTCCCAACGAGATCTGGTTTGATGTATCTAGCTTTCGTTTGCGTTTTTCCATTGCTGAATTTGCTGTTGTCACTGGTTTAAAGTGTATTGGTGAATTTGATACTTCTATTATTCCTTCATCAGACAGTAATTCACTTTTAAAGAAGTATTTCAACAGTTGTTCTAAGGTTACTCATGAAGATATTGAAAATTGTTTTCTTGGTCAAAAGGCTGATTGTGATGAAGATGCAGTTAAGATTGCTATTCTGTATGTTCTTGGTCTGTTCTTCTTTACTTCATCTAAGGAGAAGGTCATAAGTGAAACTTATTTGGCAGTTGTTGATTCTGGTTTATGGGATTCCTATCCTTGGAGGAAAGAACTTTTTGATGTCACATTACAGAACTTGAAGGGCAGACTTATTAGAGGAGATCATTCGGAAAGTGATTATTTCTTTTATCGTATTTTAGGATTTCCTCTAGCTTTTCAGGTTTGGTTTTATGAGTGCTTTGATTATTGTGATGGTGTGTTTGCTTCTAGATCTGTTTCTACTATTCCCCGAATGTTGTCTTGGCACTCTTCCATTGGACACACTTTCAAGAAGTTGAATATGGAACTTCTTTGTTTATCTGTCTCTCAGGCTTTTTTCTTACTTTTCTCAATTTTGTGTTTTTATTTTGCTTTTATTCCATTTACTTTATTATCCTTTTATGTTTTTTATTTATTAGTTGAAGCTACACAATGTTGAGCTTTCTGCCCTTGAAAGTGAATCACTTGAGTTGGATGCTTTGTTTTCTGCTCATCCATTGAGACCCCAAACTACGCCATCTAATTCAAATGCTGGGGAGGGACCTAGTTCTTCTTTTGATGGTGTTTTTTCAAACTCTGTTCTACTGGAATTTGAAAACCGGCTTGACACCAAACTTCTTGCTTTCAAGGAATTTGTTCAGGGCATGTTTAACGATTTAGAACACAAGCTTGACCGTGTTATTTCACTTTCCCATGTTCAATCTTCCAAGCACACAGTTTCAGGGTTTTCCTCTCCTGATAAAAATCAAACTGTAGAAGAACCTCTAGTTACAAATGTTGTTACTGATGATGATGATACCAGCAAAGGTCTTTCTGATGATGAAAACGACTCTTCTTTTCTTTCTACTGGTGGTCATGTAAATGATGGTCTTCATTGTGGTCAGTTAGATGAATCACTGATATCTACTGACCCCACTGGACATGCCTCAGATGATACACAGGTTATGTATTGTTTCTTTTTATTTGTTTCATTTTGTTTATATTGTTTTATTTTGTTTCATTGTTCTTTCTGTCTGTCTTTCTTTGTTTGAAATTCTTTATTTTCCATGCTTGTAATCTCAGTGATCCTTATTGTTATCAGATTGAAGATGGAGTTCCTGCCATGACCAGTTATTTGCAGGATTTGGAGTCTGACGATTGTGATATTTTCCTTCATTTCATATCTGATATAGTATTTTCAACAGTTATCGATTGCATGTCGGCCGATAATTATTCTGTTTTGACTGCTTTTGTCGAGAATATGGTTTTTTCTACTATCACTGAGATGCAGCGTGTTGAATATGATGATCTTTTGATCACCTCTTTCCAGAACATGGTTATTTCTACTGTTATTGATATGATGACTATTGAAAACCAAACAATTGCACATACAGTAGATTCTGTTTGTGATGATGTGGTTGAGGATGATGGTTTTTTTGCTGAGCTTGATTCTCTTGTTTCAGATTTTAAAAATTCCAAGGTGTTCACTTCGTATTCTGTATTGTGACTTCGTATTCTGTATTGTTTACTTTATATTTTTTATTATACTAGTATTGTTTATTTATTTAATTTTTTTGTAGTCTTCTACCAATGATCCTGGTTTAGGTTCTACAACTCCTTCGATGGAGTTGGTTCCTTATGTGCCATTTGTTCCCCCCATTGCTGTAGAGCATACACCTGAATCAATTCTTAGGAAAAAGAGGCATGTGAAGCCAAGTATTTTTGTCAAATCTCCTTTTGTTGTGGAGTTTGATTCTGGATGTGGGTCTGTCCAGGCTTGTACTATCAACCTTTTACGTCCTTTTGTCGATGAGGCAAACTGTGTTCCACCGCCTTCCATTCTTTCTGCTTTTAACATTTGGATCGATGAAGGAGCTTATAAACGTAAAAGGTTGTTTAACAGTAATGTCATACATTTCAATTTTATTATAGTTTGGTTTTTCGCATATTTTTTATAATTTTGTAGATCAAAGTTGATGTATCCTTCTAAAATTGATCATTTGACGCCTGGATATGATTTTACCGTTGCTTTTGTGGAATCGAAGACATGGTTCCACTCTCTTTATTATTTGGGACACTTTATATCTGATTCTGTATGTTTATTTACTTTTGTGAAGATTATTATCATGTGTTCATATTTATTTATTAGTTTCTGATTTCCCTTTTTCTTGCAACATTTAGATGTGATCTTTTATTACTTCAGGAAGAAGGCTCAAGTTACTAAGACTTGCAAAATCAGTTTCATAACAACTGATACTCTTTTTAATGTGAATGTTCTGAAAGCATATGATGCAACCCAAGATAAATCATTTTCTTGGTCCAAATTTGCAAGTCTATGTGATTATATTGTAGGCTTTCAGTTGCCTTGTTCAGAGGCTTGGGAAGAAGTTGATCATGTTTTTATTCCAATTTACATTAAGAAACAGATGCATTGGATTCTAGCTAGATTTTGCATTAATGATTGGTGAATATATGTTTATAATTCCATGGTCAGTGAAAGGGATATAGCTCATGCTTCAAAAGCTGTGAAGCCATATATTGTGATGCTGCCTTTGTTTTTTAGACACATGGATCACTTTTCTAAACGTGCAGTGGATCTTAATAAGAACTTAGATATGAAATTCATGACCAATTTGCCTGTCCAAGAGTCAGCGTAAGTTTATTTGTCTTATTATAATGATTTTCTTTTATGCATTATCCCTTTTATTACTAATACAAATATTGATGTTGGTTATTCTTTTTTTAGTGACTGTGGGGCTTATGTTGCTGCTTTTGCTGAATATTTCATTGATGACATAGAGCTTCCTTCATTTCTGGATATTGAGCTATACAGATCGAGGCTTGCCTTTTTTCTTTATCAGTATGGAGTATCTAAGCTAAATGGTGAAGTGGAGAGTGATGGTGATCAAGTCAAACGCAAGCGCAAGAAGCTGAAGCATTAGATAAATGTAGTCATGACTAATATGTGTATTGTAAACATTCCTTGTTAAGTTGATATGTTTTTTGTTTTTGGGTAAATGTAAAAACCGTATGTTAATTGCTACCTTTGAACATCTTTCTTTGTATTGTTCTCATACAGTTCATGTATTCTATCTACCAATATATGCCTTGTATTTTGCTCGTTTCTATTTGTTTCTTATATTGGTTTGTTGTTGTTTATTTTTGTTTCTGATTTTCTTCTTATATTCCAAAGCTCTTTTTTAGCCTTTTGCATTCTGGTTTTTGTCTACGGAATTTGTAGTTATTTTTTCCATCTTACTGGTATAGCTTATTTATACAACTTAGTAGTTGTTTCCTCAATTGTTTGCACTTGTTTCGCGATGTTTTTATGCAATGTGTTGTTTCTTCGTCTGCTTTTTGTTGTTTATTTTTGTTTGTAGTTTCATAATTAATTCCATACTTGTAGTTTACTTTATGTAATATAAGCACACAGTCATATAGAATTCAGAATTATCCTCTGTTTAATTGACCTTCAACAGGAATAATAAAAATAAATTACAAAACATTTCTCAAACAAGTTATAAAATTGTATTTTATTGATGCTCTTTGTTTTTAAAAAATTTATTTGTTTCTTCAACTGTTTTGTTTTGTTTCTTATTGTTTCTAGTCTCATGTAATTCGAACTTTGTACTTTCTGTCATTTTAAATACACACACAGTCATATAGAATTCAGAATTATCCTCTGTTTAATTGACCTTCAACAGAAATAATAAAAATAAAATACAAAACATTTCTCAAAAAAGTTATAAAATTGTATTTTATTGTTGGTCTTTGTTTTTAAAAAAATTATTTGTTTCTTAAACTGTTTTTTTTTGTTTCTTATTATTTCTAGTCTCATATGTAATTCGAACTTTGTACTTTTTGCCATTTTAAATAAACACACAGTCATATAGAATTCAGAAATATCCTCTATTTAATTGACCTTCAACAGAAATAATAAAGATAAATTACAAAACATTTCTCAAACAAGTTAGAAAATTGTATTTTATTGTTGCTCTTTGTTTTTAAAAAAATTATTTGTTTCTTCAACTGTTTTGTTTTGTTACTTATTGTTTTCTAGTCTCATATGTAATTCGAACTTTGTACTTTCTGCCATTTTAAATACACACACAGTCATATAGAATTCACAGCTACTAGTGTTCATGCACATTTGAATTGACATTCAACAGAAATGATAGATAAAAAGAGCAAAACACTTCTCAAACTAGCTAAGGTTTCTACGTTTGGGGTGCATTCCTGCATGTCTTTCTATTGTGTCCTTTGTTTCCACACTTCCCACATTTTTTTGTAGTCTCCCAATGTGCTTTATATCTCTGTTTTTTCAGCCTTCCTGCCTTTTTCCTTGCATGTGGTGGATAAACCTGCAAGATTGGCTCAGAAATCTGCATTTGCCATGTTTTTTGATCTGGAATAGGATGCACTGACTCACTATAAGTTTGCAGCAATGTTTCCTTTGTGTAGTAAAATGAGCAAAATCTGTACGGCTCTTGATTTATCTTTTTTTAGTACTGCCAGTGCGTGCATACAAGGCAATTCATCCATTTGAAACCTCCTACAAGTGCATGTTTTTTCCTCTAGATTAACAATGAAGATTATGTTCATATCATAGAGACTGAATATCACCTCAGTAGAAGGAATCACCTGCAATTAAAATTTTATACAAAATACAATTTTGTTAACAATTTATATACAAAGTTAAGAAGTTATATTATGTATGAATTATGTACCTTCAGTTTCATGCATTTCATGTAGTTCTGTTCTAGAGTTTCATGTGCAACTCTTGCAAGTTGTGTGAATGTATTTCTTGCACCATTTCTGTTTACATGTGTCCATATTTGTACCAATGTGTGCAAGAACTGTAGCAAAGCAGTTATTGGCAGATTTTTTATCTTCTTCAGTACATCATTTAGTGATTCTGCTATGTTTGAAATCATGGTTGAGTACCTTTTGGAGATTGAGAACACTCTAGCCCATTTTTCATACCCAACTGTGTACAGATATGACACTATTTCCTCATCAATCTTCTCCAGTTCCTTAATATGGCAGTCAAACTCCTCTCTTGTATAAGCTTTTGCTGCTTCAAAATAACTGTCTTTCATTTTTTTTTGTTTTTCTTTTGAACCTTGTCTTTAGGTTGTTAAACAAATGGTAAATGCATACCCCATGTCCACATTCGGGATATACTTCTATCACACCTTTAACAATGCTCTCATGCCTATCAGAAACAATTACCATTCCATTCCTATAACCAAAAGCTTCTTTAATATTTAAGAAAAACCATCTCCATGATTCATTATTTTCAGAATCAACAACACAGAATGCAAGTGGAAATATTTTCCCACATGCATCTTGTGTTGATGTTGTTAACAATGTGCCCCCATATCTCCCAGTCAGGAATGTGCCATCAACTACCATAACCGGTCTGCAGAACTTCCATCCCTGATGCATTGATTGCCATGAATGCATATAAAAAAGTATTGTCTTCATTAACTTTGATTTCCAGAAAAGATCCAGGATTTGTTTGTTTCACCATACTCATGAATTGTTGCAGAAACCTGTAGGACTCTTCTGGTTTTCCTCTTAGCTTAATCAATGCCTTTTCTTTTGCTCTCCACGCTTTTAAGTAGCTTATTTCAATGCCATACTCCTCTAACATATCTCTTTGTACATCCATTGCATTATATGATGTTTTTGGATCCACTAGTTTAGACTTAATACAGTCTCCTACCAAACTAGATGTTGCATGTCTTTGATCTGTTAATCTCACTTCCAATCTACAAGAATGTGTTTGTATAAACTTCACAACAATGAACCTTCCCAAGGTTCCAGTTTGCTTTGATCTTATCTCCCAGCTGCAATTTTCGTGCAAGCATTTTGCTGCAAAATACTTCTTATTTGTCTTATGTGCCTTGTACTGGAAGTGATTTTTGATAGCATACATCTTAAGTGCTCTCTTGAACTCATCCCTGTTGATGTAAATCAGTCCTTCTTCAGGATGAATGTCACTGTTAACGCAATTTGTTGATGTTAACTCCACACATTTTTGTTGCAATAGTGCTTCAGTTGTTTTATTTGCCCAAGCTAATATAAAACCATTAATGTCCAACTTTTCACTAATTTTTGAGCTATCTTCAGACATTGTCACTGCTTGCAGGCTACTTGTTTTTTCTTGTTGATATCCCCCATGAAACATGTTGCAAGTTGTTTCCTCATGTACATCAGCAAGGTTTATGCAGAGAGGGAATTTGGTCACATCTATCTCTTGTTTCTTAAGGTGTAAATAAAACAATAGAGTTGAGTTATCTTCTATCATCAATGGTGGATAATTCTCTCTGACTTTGTATTGAATTATCAATGTAGATGATTGTCTTTCTATTCCAATCATGTCTCCTATCTTTGCAATCAACTCAGGATAAGAACTGTTTGTAGCTAAAGTAATTCCAAACACATTGAAGTTCACATACTCCATTCCTTCATTCCAATGACCATCGTGATGAACAAAAATAGGAATTGTTTCCATGTTTCCTGTTATTATTAATAATAAACATCGTTCGTTCTTAATGAACTACAAATAAGTGTACAGAGTATTGCAATGTCCACAAACAAAAACAACATTTATTGAATTCATCAGTTTATTTTGTAAACAACAGAAGAAATCATTCATCAGAAACAAAACTTACAATTATTCAAAACCAGAAACAAATCTTACTAACCGATGAATCACTAAACGAATTCTAGCTTCATAATTTATGATCATATAGCTATTAATCGGACCTTGTTTTATCGGTAGAATTGGAGATGACTAATTGAACTTTGTAATTACCTGGTAAGAAGAGCTGAGATCGTTGGATTTCTTCGCAACTTAGAAAAACGTGATCGGTTCCGAATTTAGCGCGCTGGGGACGACGACTTGCTATGAGTTTCTAAATTGGGTATATTTATATATGGACTTTTTTGAAAATAGTAAACTACTTAGCTTATTTTTGAAATATGAATCTAAGATGGTAAAAAATGAAATTATTTTCAATTTTAGGTTATTTGTGAAAATTTCCCATTAATCAATTTGAAAATTAGTGCAATGTTTATAGGTTTGAGGTGTTTTATGTATTTGATTTTGACAAAAATTCTTATTCTCATAATATTTGTTTTTGTCTTTGACATAAAAAAATTTGGCCTCACCTGAATGTCAATCCTAGATCCGCCCATGTTTGGGTGTCATTGTCTATGAAGCTTATCACTGGCATACCCTTGTGCTCGACCGATTTGCCATGACGTCAGCAATGTAACACCGTCTCCAAGTATAATTAATTTTGTGTAAATTATGTATTGAACCTTGAGAAATAGTTAATGAATTTACGAGTTTGTAATTTTTTGTTATTACTTTTGCGTGAATAGTAAATTGTACGTGGGGCCCACACCGGGAGCGGGGACCACCCGATATTTCCGAGACCGCATGTTATTGTTATATTGGTCTACATAATTTGTATATGGTGGTGGATATTCTTTTTGGGCCATATGAAGGGCATAGTGTTGACCGGTTAGTTAAACGAGACCCAATTACCGGTATTAGTAATTTATTGGATAACATCCCGTAATAAACTACGGGGATTATTTAATTAAAAGTTGGGAAATATATATTCATTCTAGAGTCCCATAATAATTGGAAGGATGATATATATTTTATTTGATCCGATAAAATAAAATATAGTTAAAACAGTCCGAGAAATACAACTTTTCGGGGTCGATAGTACACATCGAGACACAAAGATATGACCTTCCACATGGGAGGCATCCCACGAATTTTGGGTGTCAAGAACAACCCATAGGATGGATAATGATGGGATGCGTTGAATTTGAGGGCTGATTTGAGAGAAAAGGAATCAAATGATGTGGTGGACCTCCCTCTCATCACTCATTGGTCCATTCAGACAAAACTAATCACTCAACCCCCCTCCCTTCCATTATGCTCGACCAAAAACTCAAATAAAAATAGAGGAGCTTGGCATAATTTATCTCCATAACTAGAAGCTTGAGCTCAACCAAGAAGAAGTCCAAGGAA